ACGTTGACTTTTTCTATGGAAAATTTACGGCGAATTTTGTTTTTTTTTTCAAAAAAAAAAGGAAGCGCAAGCGTTGTCGCGGAGGCTGCCATGCTGCTTTTCTGACGCGGTTCGGCGGGTTTGGCGCACGGTGGCGCTGCGATCGCGCGTGTGTGGTGGTGGTGGCGCCGGCCGGCGACAACTGCGACGTTGTCACGTTTATTTTTTATCCGAATTTAACCAGGAAAGAAAATCAAAATTTAATATACTGCACTGGGCCAGTTTGAAATTACCGTTTTTAACAATTAAAAACCGTAAAATTCAAATTATTAGTCCGAAATCTGTCATACGTCATAATTTTCCATGGCCATGTTAGGAATAGGCGCTTTGTTTTTGGTTTTTTTTTTTCATCGTCGTGTCATTTTGCATGTAATAAACAAAGACAGACATAGGTATTGAAAAAAAGATTTCATTAATTGAAAAATGTTCAATGTTGTTCACGGTCAAGGTTGTCTAGTAAAGGCTAGTAAAGGGTAACTTGATGACGTCATCTAGAGTGCCTTATGGAGATTGGCATTAGTTGTATTCCTTTCAAGGATTAAAAACACTAGAGCTACTCGCTACGGTGTTAGTCGCTTCCGATTTCAAAGGAACATATGCGTAGTACAACCAATGAAAAACATTTTATGAAAGAAATAAGCGCGTAATGCCCCGGAGGCCCCGGAGCTGTTCTAGAGCTCCACAAAGGTGTGAAAGGCATACAACACAACTTTTATGTTGAGGCCAATGAACTATTTGAGGTGCCCCAGATGACGTCATAAGAGTTATCAGGCAACCTACTTGATAGAATAATTAGTGCAAAAAACATTTCCGTCATTTTCTTTCACATGCTAGTAAAATAAGACACGAATACACTCAGTGCGCACAAAACCAATAGATTTTACTATATTTATTATTAAATTGACTGTATTTTCATCTCTCTCTCTCTCTCTTGGTTTGGTAAAGGAATAAATAGTTAATACATCTTTTTGCACTAATTTTACAGTGACCGTGTTCGTTTTTGTCATTTTTTTCGTTGATTTGCTCCGAAATTTTGACAGACATGTGACTTGATCAAACAGTTTCAATTCACAAATCACGTGCCTGTCAAAATTCCGGAGCAGATCGACGAAAAATTGACAAAAACGAACACGGCTAATGTTACTGCGAACCAAGGTTGTTTCATACAGTAAAATCCATTGATAAATTCAGTGCGCACTGACTATATTCATGTCCTATTTCACTAGCATGTGAAAAAAAGTGACGGAAATACATGTTTTTTGCACTAAATCTACCAATCAGTGGCGGCTCGTGACTTTTTCAAGTGAGGAGGCTAAAAAATCACGAATTACGTAGCCCAGGAATGTTAGGCAAAATTTCGCCTAAACCTCAAAAAAAATCCCAGAGTTTTTCTGAGACCTGTTTTGGGTTCCTGTGATAGTGCTCTACAACGCATAAAAAGTCCCCAAAAATCCCCTCATTGGCATTTTTTTAGAAGCCTTTTAAATATATACAACTTTTACACCAAAAGTTGAGAAGTAGCAATAGTTTCATGTTCACTGTGAGAGGTCGGGGCAATGTTCATATGCATTTGTTCGGTTGGAATCATAGGCGCCGGAACCATGGGGGCAATGGGGGCTTGAGCCCCCATAGTGAATTTGGTATTGTATGTAGTAAGTGTAATGGGTAGGCACAGAAATATTGAGTCCCAGCCTAACTATTAATTTTTATATCAAACTTGTGCGTGTAATGTTTTTGTTGTTTTTGCTATACCTACTTCAACAAACATTTTGAATATTTTGTTGTGTGGTATTCGAACCTCTATTTTCAATAAGTCTGTTCAAGTATGTTCACATCACATGAATATATCATGATGTACCAATACACTGGCCTTTTTTACTTAGTTTATCATGGACTCATGAACAATTTATATACAGACCGGAAAACCTACTAGTTACATAGGGAGTAATAAGACGAATTAGCTTGTACCCGGTTAAGGCGAATCGAACCGGTGCTGCCCCAGGGCCGTAGCCAGGGGGGGCAATGCCCTATCTTTTAAATGATGATGCCCTACCTTTAAAAATCAACATGCATTTAGGATTCTTTAGAAAATTTAAGAGTAGATAATGCCTGAAGTAGATAGGCCTGAAATCGAGTAAAACCAGGAACACATCTATCATGCATTCTTCCGATCCGGCTCCGATCATACAATCAAGGTCCTTATTCTTGGAACAGGGAAGCAGCGGAACACTCGTTCTCCTTAGGAACGCTGTTCCCTATTCCAAGAATAAGGACCCTGATTGTATGATCGGAGTCGGTCTGGAAGAATGCATGATAGATGTGTCCCGGGCTTAAGCGAGGATGAATGTTTCCGAAAATGCCCAAATCTAATGAACAATGTTTGACGTTTGCACAAAGGAAGTTTTTTGTTTTCAAAGAGTGCGAATGACCCAAGGCGGCCGGCGCGAGAATCCGCGCCATTTCGTTCACTTGCCAGAGATGTTATTAATTGCAAGGTTGTTTGATAGAGGCGAGAGAGGTAGGATGCCTGGTAAATTTATGATGTCATCTGGGGTGCCTCAACATAATGCAAATCTCTAGAAGGTATCCTAGATCAGATGTGTCATCAAATTACCCCTTACCATACAACCTGAACCTTGATTTATTGAAAAATTTGCCTTCGGCGCCATTAGCCTCATTTTGTTTACCTATAAGCCTCCCGGCACCGGTATTCATATGAATCCCGGTTATGACGCTTTTTTAATGGAGACAACAACCACCGGTAACTGTCGTGGATCCCGGCTATTGCAATACAAGATGTTACTAATTAATAATTATTATGTTCATTGGTATTGCTAAATTTTGGTAATGGGGCAGAATTATTATGTAGGGTGAAAAAAGTAAACGAAGTCGGGCGCGATAAGCTTTTATTTATGGGAAATAAAATTATGACTTTTATTATATATGTATCATCACACAGGGTGCCCCAAAATTTGAGGTTAATATTTTAACTGCGGATTCTACATCTAAAATCAAGAACAAAAGTTCCCATAAACATACCCTATTTCAGAGATACAGGGTGTGAAAAAAGCTATAGTCCCGAATAATGAATGAAAATAAACCATACATACCCTTTTCAAACCACTACGACGACAAATGGATTAACGAAGTACTATTACCACTCTAATACCAATATCACAACAAGAATAGTATATTCTTCAACGAGCACATAATGATGGCTATTATTCACGAGAATAAAAATTCAAACACGAGCCGAATGCGAGTGTTGGAATCATTCGAGTGAATAATAGCCATTATTTGCGAGTAGAAGACTATACTTTCTCTTCAAACTTTTTGAAAGAAAATCATTAGTTTTTGTAAAAAAAAAACAATCATCAAAAGTCTAAACCCGCCTTAATTGAAAGTTTAGTGATCTGACAGCAGACGTCAGTCGTGTTTTGTTTGTATTGTCTCGTTGCGGCCCGTGTATTCCGAAAATATGGAGAATTTGATTGGTCGACAGGCCGTGGATTCCGGTTTGGAATCCACGGGGCGTGTAGAATTCGTATCATTAATCAATTTAATTTCGAGCAAGAATGAATGTATTATTTAATGTTCGAAGAGAAACAATATTACACAAAAGCTGTTTCCAAATTATTTACAGCTTGAAGCAGCAAGAGAAACACTACTTTGAATTTTGAATCCAATAGCCAGTATCCACGATAAATCCCGGCGGTCGTTGATCACGTCATTGAAAACGCGTCGTAACCGGGATTCGTATGGATACCGGTTAAGCTGTGTACCGGTGCCGGGAGGCCAGACACAGCGATAAAAAAATTAAGGGGGGGGGCAAGTAGTGTATGCCCTATGTCAAATTTGTCATGCCCTACCTTAAATTTGACTCTAGCTACGGCCCAGTGCTGCCCACTGGCGACTGGCGTGACCAGGAAAGGGGACAAAGTGGCATTTGCTCCCTTCCCCCAAAGGCCTTTAAATTTTATTAATGATTCCAAATTGAAATAAACAAAGAATCAATTCAAGTCCTACGTGAATATTCCAATACATACATTATAATATAAGTAACGTTCTACTATAAATTCTCATCAATATTTGTTTAAATGGCCGCATCCCCGCCATTAGAAGTCCCAAAAATACCGTGAAAGGACCCAAAAATTTCTTGCCTGCGGCGCTTTCCCTTCTGCAGCGCTTGCGGCGCAGCTGCAAGGATCACTTCCTGCGAATTTACCCTCGCCTCAAGGCAAAATCCTGGCTACGCCAATGGTGCTGCTCTAAAGCCGAGTATAGCCGATTTGCCGAAGATGCACGAATTTTAATCATATGCGTGTGTATAGCGATCCTGCAGTGAAATGGGTATCTGCCAACTGTTTCCATTTAAGTCTATGTGTCTAGTAGCCTAGTCCTGTTTGTCTAATTGATTCTACTTATATATTAATTTTTGGAGCCCGAGCCCCCATATTAATTTCGAAATTCCGGCGCCTATGGTTGGAATGCATGACCACTGTACCAACACACAAGAAAAACATCACGGTAAGTCGTATTTCCCGATTAAAAGGGTGTAACTCGCGGCAAATAGCGCTCAAATCCGTAGAAGTCCTGTTTCTTTCGCGTTTCTTCGTTCCGAACTTTATTTTAAGCTCTGGTGGCATTGAAGAAGTGTTCGGGAGTGACTGGAACAGTACTGGCGGTAAACTGTATCTCAAAGTTCCGGAAATAAGCCGCGTATCTGAACTCGAAACAGAGATATGCCAGAAAATGTGGCCGCTGGCGCTGGTCTGCTAGCGTGATGGGCACGTGTGCTACAAGTACGTCTGTGTGTGAGGGTGTGTGTCTGTGTGTGTGTTTGAGTGTGTGTGTGTGAGGGTGTGTCTATATGTGTAAGTGCGTGTGTGTGTGTGTAAGTGCGTGTGTGCTTTTTTTCTTGGGAACGGAGAAAACAAGGAAATCCTTATTGCAATGTTGAGGCCAGTTGTTGGAGGGTGCTGAACTGACGGTGCTGCAAGCCAGTGGAGACGCAGATCAGCTGATTGTAGCAACTGCGCTTCAGTTGTCAGTCACAGAAAAATCAGTTGTCGTGTCTGCAACAGACACCGATATCTTCGCCATGCTCATTCAGAGATATTCTTCAGAAAACGATGTCTATATGCTGATGCCTGGAGTAAGTGGCAGGTCTGATAAAGTCCATAACATTCGTTCAGAGCAATCGAGTCTCGGTGCAGTCAAGAACGTACTTCTATTTGCACATGCAATGACCGGATCTGATACCACATCTGCGTTCTTCGGCAAAGGCAAAACAGCATTACTCAACCTTCTGATGAAAAATGAAGAGCTGATGTCAGAAGTGCAGCTGTTAAACTCACAGGGAGCGGAGATGTGTCGCTAGGAGAGCGAACTATCTGCGCTCTGTACGGTGTGCCCGAAAGCCAGACGCTCCTAGGCGTGCGCCACAGCATCTTCAGCCAACGGCCAGGAAAGATCTCACCCCGGAGTTGAAGTTAAAACTCATGCCACCCACGAGTGGGGCTGCATGCTACCATACACTTCGCGTGTATCTTCAGGTAAATATTGTGATTTTTTTTTTCGTCTTGCGTTACTTTTGAATATGTTGTACTCATTCCTATGTACGGTGCAGGTGCAGGATGGGCTCGGGCACAAACTGGATGCCACACAGTTTGGCTGGCGAGAAGGTTTTGGTCGATTGCTGCCAGTTATTTCGGACGACCCTCCTGCTCCGGACAGCCTACTGAAACTTTTCAGATGTGGCTGCACTACGGGCTACAATCAGAACTGTTGGTGCCGCCGGGCAAGTATGCCCTGCAAGTCCTATTGCGCAAGATGTGAAGGCAACTGCACCAATAACGAGCCTGTAGTTCTCGATGACGCAGAAACAGACGCTGACGAAGACATCGATGACCCGACGATGTAAAGTAAGTAAACACTTGCTTATGGGCTTTAGACCATTCGTCCAAGTAGCATGCATTAACAACGAGTGCTTTCCTCGTTTCAGGAAAACGTCCCAGCAAACCAGACACAATCGGCAAACGAGCGGCCGCCACTCGGCACCGTCGGTATACTGGTGGCTACTGTAGGCCGGGCCTGGGCCTTCCAGGGTCCAGTTAGCGCGCACCGAACGCGGGACTCTATCTTTCGGAACGAAAGTGGCTACGTATAGGGAATACCACCGGTAGGAAACCACCTTCTGATTCGAATGCGGTTCGCAGGTGTGTTGCCGGATACGTAGCCACAGCCAGTCTTTCGGACCAGGTTCATTTAGCTAGCGGCCAGACGAATAGGTATACGGTATATACGTTCCAAAAACCTAACGATGATGAGTCTGACGTCACAATAATGTTCCCAAACAAATAAATAATGATGGCAGTTGTAACTTTAACTGATTTTTACAAAATTTGTAAAAATTCCCATAAGAAAACTACTTTAAATTGAATAATTATTGCAGTCTATTTATAATTTCTCTGTGTGATATGTTGCTTGAATAACTACTAAAATAAAAAGGGCAAAAATTAATAGCGAATTCTATTGGTAGAACCAGTGCAGAAAAAATGTATTTTTATCTCTTTCTTATACAAGCTGGTAGAAAAAGACACGAATACACTCAGTGCGCACTAACCCTTCCAATAGAATTCGCTATAAGAATTCTCCAAAAAATAAATACATGAAAAAAAAACCTTCTGGTACAAGACTCGAACCAACAACCAACAACACCGAAAGCGACAGGCCTATCCACTACGCTATCAGAGTTCTTTTTAAAATAATATTCAAATCAAATATATTCGTGTGTTCGTGTATCCATCCCCACTGGATCGGACTTTGACGAAATACCGTTATGAACGACAAGTGAACGACGCGCCACGCGCAAGCGGGTGCCGACTCGTGCCGCCTAGCAACCAAACCAAATTATCACCTAACCTAACATAACAACATAGCCAACGACGCCAACGAGCGTCAACCTCAAGCAAGCAGCAAGCGCGAAGAGAGAAGATTTTGGTTATGTTTTTTCGTTAGCGGTGTGAAGTTAGCTGACAAATAGTTAGCTGCCAAAGTGCCGATGATTGCCGAACGACCATGGGCGGAGGTCAACAATTTGAATAAATTAAATTAATTTAAAATGTTTTAGCAACAATTGAAAAATACTTGAAATTATACAATCTAAATGTATTTTCAATTAAAATTAACAAATAAATATATTCCAGTAGAATAACGACTAATAGTCCTGTAAAATAACAACAAACTAAAACAAAAATAATATGTAAAAAATTCAGGACAATTTTGTTTCACCAAATTTCGATATTTATCTGAAAGAACAGACTCCACTCCACAATTTGACACCCCATTTGACCCACCAGTCCCCTCAATAGACCGGTAAAATCAGAAATACGACAAAAAAAAATTCTAAAAAATCGAAGACAATTTTGTTTCACCAAATTTCGAGATTTATCTGAAAGAACAGACTCCACTCCACAATTTGACACCCCATTTGACCCACCAGTCCCCTCAATAGACCGGTAAAATCAGAAATACGACAAAAAAAAATTCTAAAAAATCGAAGACAATTTTGTTTCACCAAATTTCGATATTTATCTGAAAGAACAGACTCCACTCCACAATTTGACACCCCATTTGACCCACCAGTCCCCTCAATAGACCGGTAACATCAGAAATACGACAAAAAAAAATTCTAAAAAATCGAAGACAATTTTGTTTCACCAAATTTCGATATTTATCTGAAAGAACAGACTCCACTCCACAATTTGACACCCCATTTGACCCACCAGTCCCCTCAATAGACCGGTAAAATCAGAAATACGACAAAAAAAAATTCTAAAAAATCGAAGACAATTTTGTTTCACCAAATTTCGATATTTATCTGAAAGAACAGACTCCACTCCACAATTTGACACCCCATTTGACCCACCAGTCCCCTCAATGAACTGGTAAAATCAGAAATACGACAAAAAAAAATTCTAAAAAATCGAAGACAATTTTGTTTCACCAAATTTCGAGATTTATTTGGAAGAACAGACTCCACTCCACAATTTGACACCCCATTTGACCCACCAGTCCCCTCAATAGACCGGTAAAATCGGAAATACGACAAAAAAAAAATTCTAAAAGAATTTGTAAAAAAAAAGTAAAGCTTGTACTCCTAATACAACAATATACTAATTGTATCACGTACAATTGGGGAAAAAATCCCGGACATGAAGGTTATGAGTTAATATCTCTTTTAAATATTTTGATAAACCTGGCTTTTTTACCTTATGCGATTTTCACCTTAGAATTAATAGCTAATTTCCTGTCAGTACTTATGGCAAGCACTACAAGCTAAATTACAATAGAAAGAAACCCTTGTCAGGTTTTTTTCTTCCACCTAAATTAGGTTTTTTAGAACTGATTTGCTGAAACAGCAAATATTCTTCCTGAACAACCTTATTTTAGGTACAAAAAAAAGTAAAGGGTGTTTTTTTTTTTAAGATAAAAGTCAAAGTCATAGGTCAAAGTGACATTATGTTGGCAATACAATGTAAAATTGTCAATGCTTTCAAATTTTTTATGTAGAAAAGGCTTGTGCTGCCAACATAGTTACTAAATTTTTGACTTGGAGAATTATCTTAAAAAAAAAAAACAGACTTTCGTACAACAATTATTAACCCCAATTTGAGCTACCGTTGTAACATACAAAATTTTGACAGGCAATGATATACATATTCTAGGTTAAAAACGGGTGGAAAAATTTCAAAGTAATGTCATCTGAAGCTTTCTAGGTTAAAAACTTGTCGAAAAATTTCAAAAATGTCATTTTTGGTTATGAATTAAATTAACGTATAATAGGTCAGGAAATTTTGGAGATTTTTCTTGTACTACTTTTTTTTGATCGGAACTGTAGGTACCTATACTTGTTGATAAAAGTTATTTCATTAAATTTTTTTTTGTCGTATTTCTGATTTTACCGGTCTATTGAGGGGACTGGTGGGTCAAATGGGGTGTCAAATTGTGGAGTGGAGTCTGTTCTTTCAGATAAATATCGAAATTTGGTGAAACAAAATTGTCTTCGATTTTTTAGAATTTTTTTTTGTCGTATTTCTGATTTTACCAGTTCATTGAGGGGACTGGTGGGTCAAATGGGGTGTCAAATTGTGGAGTGGAGTCTGTTCTTTCAGATAAATATCGAAATTTGGTGAAACAAAATTGTCTTCGATTTTTTAGAATTTTTTTTTGTCGTATTTCTGATTTTACCAGTTCATTGAGGGGACTGGTGGGTCAAATGGGGTGTCAAATTGTGGAGTGGAGTCTGTTCTTTCAGATAAATATCGAAATTTGGTGAAACAAAATTGTCTTCGATTTTTTAGAATTTTTTTTTGTCGTATTTCTGATTTTACCAGTTCATTGAGGGGACTGGTGGGTCAAATGGGGTGTCAAATTGTGGAGTGGAGTCTGTTCTTTCAGATAAATATCGAAATTTGGTGAAACAAAATTGTCTTCGATTTTTTAGAAATTTTTTTTGTCGTATTTCTGATTTTACCGGTCTATTGAGGGGACTGGTGGGTCAAATGGGGTGTCAAATTGTGGAGTGGAGTCTGTTCTTTCAGATAAATATCGAAATTTGATGAAACAAAATTGTCCTGAATTTTTTACATATTATTTTTGTTTTAGTTTGTTGTTATTTTACAGGACTATTAGTCGTTATTCTACTGGAATATATTTATTTGTTAATTTTAATTGAAAATACATTTAGATTGTATAATTTCAAGTATTTTTCAATTGTTGCTAAAACATTTTAAATTAATTTAATTTATTCAAATTGTTGACCTCCGCCCATGGTCGTTCGGCAATCATCGGCACTTTGGCAGCTAACTATTTGTCAGCTAACTTCACACCGCTTTTTTCGTTTTCGAGTTTTTCGACTTTATGTGGTTTGTTCTTGAAAAGTGTTTTTTGAAAGTTTGGTGGATTGGAAGTAGGTGTAGTGGGTGTAGTTTTCGTTCTGGTACTTCGTGTGGCGGTTTTATCACACTTTGTTATTGTTTTGGCATGCTGGCATGCAAACAAAATGTCCCAGGACTCCCAGGCCCAAGATCAACAACTGTAAGTATACAAGGTAGTTTTTACTTTTTAATAATTCACATATTTTATACTCAATTTGTTGTTACCAATGGAGTCAGCAGCCGAAAAAAGTAAAAGGCAAAAGCGTCGGTTGATTGCCACTCAAATGCAATGCCTATTAGGCGATTTTTCCCCTATAGAGTGGGCTCCCGAGGAAGGAGAAGGACCTTCAAATTCTTGCTGTTTTGTTTCTCCAAGAAATTTGATTGATGAATCTAATAATTCAAATTTGAGGTGCCATAATTCCCATCATGTACCTGTTCCTAATTCTGAAACGTGCCCTGAGCCTAAATCCAGTTGTTCATTTTCTGAATCCAGTGATCATCATCACTCGCAAGAGCCAATGCCTTCTCTAGAATCTGAGTCTGAGTCTGAATACATATTTAGCACAGATTCTAACTCAGAAACAGAAGAGAATGACTCTTCTGATAGTACTGAGCAAGGTAGTGAGCAGGGTATTGATGAATCAGTACCTCAATTTGTGGAAAATACCAGCAGTAGTTTTTTGAGAGAATGGGCTCTTAGAAATAATTTAACACATAGGTCTATAACCGAATTGCTCCAGTGGTTTTCCACAAATCCGAATGTTAGTAACCTTCCACGAGATGCTCGTACTTTGCTGAAAACACCGAGGCATACTAACTTTATTTCAATGGGTGATGGTTTATTTCATTATTTTGGTTTGAGTGAAGGAATTAAAAAAATTCATAATAAATATGTCAACGATGCAAATATCCTTGAAGATACCCATGAGATCCTATATAACTTAGACTTTAATGTAGATGGTTTGCCAATACAAAAAAGTACTAAGGTATCGTTCTGGCCAATATTGTGCTGTGTATCAAATTATCCCGAAGAATCACCTTTTATTGTGGCAATTTACTCTGGTCCAGGTAAACCTCCTATTAAAGAATTTTTCTCAGATTTTGTAGCAGAGGTTAAGAATCTTTATGTAAATAAATTGATTATTGGCAAAACAATTATTAATATACAGTGTAAGTCATTTTGCTGTGACACACCAGCTCGTTCATTCATAAAAGCAACAAAAGCACATAACTCTTATCATGGCTGTGACAAGTGTGTTGTTGAAGGTACGTACATGAATAGACGAATTGTTTTTTTAGACTCTAAAGCTACACTTAGAACTGATTTTGGCTTTATTAATCGTGCATATGGTGATTATCATAAGGATATTAGCCCTTTAATTGAAATAAATATTGGCATGGTATCAGGGTTTCCGGTTGATTACATGCATTCAGTTTGTCTTGGTGTCATGAGAAAGTTGTTGTTTTTGTGGCGGGATGGTAGTAGACTTTTCCGGTTTACACCTGAAAAACTGGAACTTCTAGAAAATAGACTCCATATAGTAAGAAAATTCTGGCCTGTAGAATTTAATAGAAAGCCGAGAACCCTCAAAGATCTTGAAAACTGGAAGGCAACTGAATATAGGCAATTTTTATTATATTTTTCCCCAATTTTGGCTGACATTTTATCACCACAAATTTTTTCCAATTTAATGACCCTAAAATTTGCTATAACAATTTTGCTGGGCAAAGACCTAAACATCCTCTACAATGACTATGCTGATAAACTTCTTCGATTATTTGTGTCGGAAGCAATTCACATTTATGGAAAAGAGTTTGGGATCTACAATGTACATGTTTTAATTCATCTTGCAAAAGATGCGAAAGAATACCATACCCTGAACAATATAAATTGTTTTCGTTTTGAGAACTATCTTGGTTTTCTGAAAAGATCTCTTAGAAAATCAAATCAAAGTTTACAGCAAGTTATTAATAGAATATATGAAGGCCGTACTATTCTTCTAGAGCCTAATAGAAAAGAAATATCTGTTTTAGGAAAACCCAATTATATTGAAAATTCTAAAGTATTTTACCCAAAACTTTCTTATAAGGATTGGACATTTTCAACTAATATTGGAAATAATTGTGCCTTTTTTAAAGATAATCAGGTAATATTTATTGATGGCTTTTTTACTGAGTCCAATGAAATTTATATCCAGGGTAGAAAAATGAATATTTTAAAACCGTTTCTGACTTACCCAACTGAAAGTTCTTTTATATCATTATTTGAGGTACAGCTAGGTAATGATAGAGTTTGCAAATCATGTTCTGATATTATTTCTAAAGCACTATTGTTGCCATATTCGAATAACTATATTTGTCACCCACTAATTCATTTTCTTTAATTTCTTTTATTTTTTCTATGGCTGGGGTTACCCGGTTCTCAATTTTTGTTCTTAATTCTTAATCTTTAAAAACACCAATGTTAAATAAATTGAACTTTTCAAGAATTGAGAATAAGAGACAAATATTAAGAATTAAGAAATTTGGTAACTCCGGCCTAAGTTGAAAATTAAACAATTATACAGGGTGTTACGAATTCGCGAGTAAGTATGGGAATCTCGGTAAGCATAAGAGATCGGTTAAATTGGGGCAAAGTTACCCAATTTCTTGCTCACCAAAATGCCATTTCGAAATTTGGAAAATTCCGAATACTTCCGGAGATATTCAGAAAAAAACGGAATTTTGCAAAATTTTTTTTAAAGATAAAAGTCAAAATGACATTATGTTGCCAATATAATGTAAAATTGTCAATGCTTTCAAATTTTTTTTGTAGAAAAGGCTTGTGTTGCCAACATAGTTACTAAATTTTTGACTTGGGGAATTATCTTTAAGAAAAAAAAAAAAGGATTTACTAACTATTAAGGTCTTTAAAACACACTCAATTTTCAAAGATCAGCTATTTAATTACTCAGATGACAAACGTCTACTTATACCTATGTTGTTATATGCGTTTAATAATTTAAGTTTTAAACGTAAATGGGATGAAAAATAATCAATATATTGTTAGGCTAAGCTAAGATATAGTAGTGCAGCTAATATTATGGTAGTATTAGGCAGTGATTTGTAATTGGAACTATGTATTAACACTGTAAATATTTCTCTGAAGTTATTAAATAAATAAATTAAAATTATTGTAGTGAATATCTAATTGTTGATTTCCCTGAGGAAAGTAAAAATGGGGAAATTAGTATGGCCCTAATATCCAGCACCTGGCTATTTGAAGAACATGGTAATCTATATTGCCATTGGCCCACATACTTGAAGTCCACACTTTCAAGAGAGAGGGTTGTGAAAAACCACACCCCTCTATTACACAATAAATGTGTCAAATGTTTGGTGGTGATAAAGCATAATACTGGTGAGAAAATGATGATTTATTAGTCATAAACACGTCATAAATCCTCACCTCATAGCAAAAGTGTATTAACTCCAAAATATCCAGTTCCATGATTCACACCTAGATTCAAATTTCCCGCTCTATTCAATCTATCTATTACAACGAAGTTATGACTTAAGACGACGGGCATATAGAATGAGTTCAATTAAACTATCTGCAAAGGCTACCAAACAATCCGAAAAAGTTTTTTTTTTTCATTTTCCTGTAAAATTTATGTTTTGCGACTTTCACTTACACTTTTGCTCTGAGATACTAAAAGTAATATTTTACGCTCGTCTGATAAATTCGAGGATAAATTATAACTGCCACAAACTTTTTTTTTCCCAAAACGCACAGTTTTCCTATTTTTAGATGACTATGATAAGGCTTGTTGTAAACTTAAAAAGTTGGAAGAAGAATCTGAGTATTCATCAGCGACAGATATAGATGATGAAGCTCAAGATAAAGCCACCAATTTACCAAAGAAGACCTACAAATCAAACAGACATGCAGATTTTACTTATTCTGAAGGAAGTGATGATGATAATATTCCTATCGCTCCAAGATTTCCCAAGGAAAAAAGCTTAAAGTTATGTATCAATCGAGGTATCAATAATATTCCTCAAAATTTTCTTAAAAGCTCAAAGACATATACCGAGTTAACCCCATTAGTAAGGGTTATAGAACCTGCAGTCAGATTCCAAAATAATAATTGGAGCAGTTCCAGTCAGGATGATCGACTTAGTCAGGATCATCGATCTAGTCAGGATCACCAATTTAGTCAGGATCATCGATCTAGTCAGGATCACCGATTTAGTCAAGATCATCAATCTAGTCAGGATCACCCATTTGGTCAGGATCACCCATTTGGTCAGAATCACCGATCTGGTCAGAATCCTCTCATTAAACCAAAAGAAATTAATGAAATGGGCAGTAAGTGCCATTGCGAAAAAACTTCAAGTACGTTGATAATAATTCACCTACAGGATTTTGTAATATAATAATTTATTTTCTAGAAGCATTGGAACGCTTACTTCGCGACATACAAATTATTAAGTTAGACCTAACCAGCCTATTACAGCAATCAAATAATACCAAATTAACCGAATTTCAGCAACTTGATGCCAACCTCCATTTTCAAGATTATCAGGAACTTCAAGCATTTAATGACCGGCTATTGGAGAAAGATTACTTCATCAAAATGGTAAACCTTTTTCTCATCATGAAATCGCTTAGACTATACAGGGTCCTAACTATTTCATAGGAACAGCGCATTGCTATCTCGGGAACGGTTACAGTTACGAGGGCGTTTAAATTAGAAAAAAGTTGCAATTTTTGAAGAATATTGAAAATATAATGCTTTTGAATTTAAACTATGTCTCTAAAATCAATAGATTTGAAAAATAATATTTTTTGATAAAATTGTTTTTGTTAATTTTGAAAAATCACCCTGTATACGCGAAACTAATAGACATTTGGCATCAACAAAAATATATTCTTAATATTCCTCAAAAATGGCGACTTTTTTCTAATTTAAACGCCCTTGTAACTTTAACCGTTCCCAAGATAGCAATACTGTCCTTATGAAATAATTGGGACCCTGTATAGAATCTTTAAAATCCTTAATATACACTAGTTTTTCAATTAGGCATAAATGCTTAAACTTAAAATTTGTAGTATGAATGAGTTTTTCTCTTTTTTGTCTTAAGCAAGCATCACTTAGTTTACTGGGCGGCAGGGACCTAAACGAGACCACACGAAAAATATTATCGCTTTTGTTAAGCCATGAACTTTCATTAAATGTTAATTGGATAGGAGCCAATGACAAGGGGAGCCTTCAGAAAACAGAAAATGTGTTGAAACTTATTTACGGTAAGCTATTAGAAGTATCAGTAGTTACCTTTAATAGGCATGTTCAATTAGTGAGTTTATCGTTAATCCAAGCACTCTACACAATTTTTTTATACATGGTGGGGCACAAAAAACTAGGTGATTTCCCACACAGGTGATTATACAGTGTGTCCGTAAAGAAATAGATAGATTCATTTGAAATTTAGCCTTTTTTTTTTTTGGAATTTTTAAATTGAATGCCCTGTGTACTTGAATGGATATCGATTCATCAAAATATACAGGGCATTCTATTTAAAAAATTGAAGTGTTACGTGATATCTCATCTCTTTTTTGGGTCATCTTGTATAAATACAAATTAGTTTAAAAACAGCGCCAATAAAAATTAAGATCGACGTATCCGAGCGTTTTTCCAAAAAAAAAAAATTGCTTAAACTTCAAATGAGTTTATCCGTTACTTTACAGACACACTGTGTGAATTATATGTATCAGCTAACACCTGAGAGAACCTGGGTGGAATTTTTTTCGTGCCCCACAATGTATACATTGATAATTATTGAATATCTATATCGACTATATCCTATTTGAGGTAACCTTGAACTAGATGTTAATAATTTTCAGGAGCTGTACGAAAAAATCATACAACAGCAAATGCCACAAACTCAGAAATAGACAATGCCATCAAGAATTGGATAAAAAATGCTCCTGATAGAGCAGGAGGAAGGGCTAATCGAAGAAATAAAAATAAAGTGGCAGTTATTGAATAGATATAACTTCATGCTTCATGTTCGATCTTTTTGAGTATTATTATTATCAGGAATTTATGTTATTTTGTATTTTAATGTATACCCATTTTCGTATTCAGCAATGGCGAAACATTGTGTATTTACTCCCATATCAAAATTAATTTATAGATTCTAACGATGTAAACAAGGATCCAGGGTTGGGACTTTGAAACGGATAGATATCGTTATCCCTATCGCTATGGCACTTGTTGTCTATGTCTCTATTCGTTACAGAGTCTCAGCCCCAGTGCTGATAAGCGCGAGCAGCCATAAATGTTCCTGGTATTTTCTATTGTCGCCTTTTTTGGTTTGGTCGGGAAGTCTCAAATAATGATATACATGTTTTCTCTTTACTTTGGTTTGATAATTATAAAACTATTTTTTATTTAGGCAATAGTTAATATTTGCATATTGATTTTTTTAGGTACATCATTGCAATCTATAAATTACTTAGAATATAATAGCATTGAGTTGAGTATAGTCATAATGAGCCTGTATTAAGAATATTTTTTTATTTTGTGATAATAAAATTGTTATAATAAAATATATACATATGCGCAGTTTGTTTTACTGACTAACCAATATCGTTTGCATAAAATTTACTAACAATGGCATAGGTTTTTTAGAAAAAAAGCAGCTTTGAGACATGAAAGTTGGTAAAAGGTGATAATACAGAGGGGCTGTCAAATAACGTCAATGGATCCTATTGTGGTGGCAAAGCAAAAATGAACAATTTTCAGTAGTATTAACTATTAACCCAAGAACATTGATAATTCTTTGAAAATTTTTTATAACAGATCTCGAGAGCTTGTTTCCTATAAGGTACAAGATTGAGAAATTTGTTATAACATTTTTGAGCATTTATTAATGTTCGAGGGTTATTATTCGGATAGAATTTTTTTTGACAGCAATGTCCGATGCAATGTCATAGAGTAAAAACAGCCTTGGGGGCAGTATAATATTAGGTTTGTTCGGACTTAGTTCAGAATTAGTTCAGAATCAGTTCTGAAGTGAACTGCGCTTGCGCATTTGTTCATATCGAACATATGGAAACAAATGCGCAAGCGCAGTTCAATTCGGAACTGATTCTGAACTAAGTCCGAACAAACCTATTGAAATGATTGGGTGATTTTGTGTCACATGACAAAAAATAACAAAGTTTAATTGGCTGTTAGAGCTATGAAAAATTTTCACCTTAATAATGTTTTTTCTACAGCCGTGCGGAGAAATTTTCCGCACTGATATCGGTGCGGATTTTTTTTTCCGCATGGCTGTCAAAAAAAATAATAATAATAAATTACTACAAATTATGTAGGTATGTATACTTATTTCCGCACGTTTGTAAAAAAACTATTGTACCTAACACTTGCGGAAAATGTTTTTCTGCACTCGGCTCCTTCACGGCAGACTCCTGTGGAAAAATTAATTTTCTGCACTTGTTAGGTGAAATAGCTATTTTCTACAGCCGTGCGGAAAAATCAATTTTTCCGCACGGCTGTCAAAAAAAATATTAAATAAATGGATACAAATTATGTAGGTATGCTTATTTCCGTATGTCTGTAGAAAAACTATTGTACCTAACACTTGCGGAAAATGTTTTTCCTGCACTCGGCTGCTTCACCGAACTCCGCTACGCGTCGTTCGGTGAACGGCAGACTCGTGCGGAAAAATTCATTTTCCGCACTTGTTAGGTAAATAGCTATTCTCGAACATTCGGCGCCCTTCCATCTACCCGCTAAGACCCGCGGCTGAGGAGAGGTTACCGTGTACGGGCCACCGGTCCTATGCCGAATTCGCGCCGATTCGGCGATACTACTAGTGGCCCGTCGGCGGTTATGCCTATCCTATACCGTCGCCGAAGGGCTGGCTCGCCGAATCTCAGCCACCCTTCGGCCAGGCGGACATGCCCTACCAGCATGCCGAGGCGGCAGCCGTTAAGCGGATCGCAAGTGGCCTTTCGGCATTCCGCATTCGTGCCGTTATCGGGCCAGTCGTTCTGTGTTTGTTGGGGTCCCTGTGAGAAACTCTTCAGATAATTTCTGATGTATTTTGAAAGATTTTACAAATTTAGTACTAGTTTTTTCTTTAATTAAAAAAAATATGTGCCAAGTACTTAATTCAATTTCAATAAGAAACAATACTGTTTCTAACTCAGAAATTAGGTACCAGTTCTGTTACAGTCACTCCTGAACACTTCTGCAATGCCACCAACAGACAAAACGAGGTTAGGAACGAAGAAACGCGAAAGAAACGGGAATTCTGCGGGTTTGAGCGAGATTTGCCGCGAGTTACACCCTTTTTATCGGGCAATACGACTTACCGTGATGTTTTTCTGGTGAGTTGGTACAGTGGTCATGCATACCAACCGAACAAATGCATATGAAAATGGCCCCGACCTCTCACAGCGAACATGAAACTATTGCTACTTTTCAACTTTTAGTGTGGAAGTAGTTTATATTTAGAAGGCCTCTAAAAAAATGCCAATGAGGGGATTTTTGGGGACTTTTTAAATGTTGTAGAGCACTATCACAGGAACCCAAAACAGGTCTCAGAAAAACTCTGGGATTTTTTTTGACCTATATTCCCGTTTCCCGGACTAACGGTAAGGTAACCACTGCGCAGCAAACAACATTTGTTTTGGGGTGCTCATGCCCTCAATAATTATTGTGTGATAAATGAAATATATTGAAATTTCATGTCGTTACATGGGAATTTTTCGGAATAAAACCGAAATTCCATATTTTTAGTTGGAAATTCTTCGGCATTACTAAAATTCAGTAAGAAGTGAAATTTCATATTATTGGGAATTTCGGTGAAATTTCACATGATTGTTTAAAATTCCTCCATGTAATTCATTTAGGATTTCGCGTAATTTGATCGGAATTTCATTGCAATTTCAAATAATTCGAGATGAATAGAAATTTAATGTGAATTATATGGAAACTCCGCAAAAATTTCACATCTAATTCCTTTTTCAGAATAACATAATTATTCTACCGAAATTCCTGGAAATTCCACTAAATTATGGAATTTTGAGACTTTAACAGATTTTTGGGGATTCAAAAAAATATTTGGGAATTTTAAAGGAAATATTTTTCAGGAATGTTAATGATTTTATTTAGAATATTTCCGATTTTTGATTGACTCCAAATTATCCGCTGACCAATAGAATTATAGATTGGGAGGCCCCGTGATTAAAATAACTCTAGCTCTTCGGGCTCGCGTATAACTCCGGCCCTTCGGGCTCGCATATAACTCCGGCCCTTCGGGCCGGTATTACTGAGTATCCCAGATTCTCAGATACTTGTCGTGAAGGCGCGGGATTGATTGAAATAATGTCAGATTTTTCTAAATTACATTGAAATATCGAAAGTGTAATTTGTGAATTGTTATTTTAATTAGAAATCAGGAATAAAAAACTGAGATTGAATTTTCAATTTTTTGGGGGAGGCTTAGCGTCCCCTGCCTCCTCTGACGAGCCGCCACTGGCCATTTCTGTTGTGAATTGTTGTTAGACTAACGCCAAATGTTGTTCAAGAAAAGAAGAGAGCGCATAATGTTGTCATGTCAAAATAAGATTTATGTCATATTATTATGTCATTGATAAAAACATCTAGAATTGTAAAAAATCTTTTGCAAAATAATAAAAATAACATTTTTTTTTTTTTTCCTCTCTGTCATCATCATTTTCCATGTATTAAACAAAGACAGATATAGGTATTGAGAACAATATTTTATATAAGCGATTTATTAATGTTGTTCGCAGTCAAGGTTCCTGAAGTTTATAGGTTGTCTGGTAATGGGTAACTTGATGACGCATCTTGGATGCTTTATAGTGATTTACATTACGTTTATGCATACAGATGACGTCATGAAAATTATCAGGCAACCTCTCACTTTTAAACAACCTCGGTTCGCAGTCAAAGTTCATTGAGAGACGTATGTTGCATAACTTTTATGACGTCATCTGTATGCCTAGATCATTGGCCTAAACCTAATGCAAATCTCAGAGATATGCCTAGTACTCATAACTGCGAAATTCGCATTTTTTTGACGTTGCGTTGACAATTTGACGTTTTATGCGTGTATCAAACGTCAAATTGTCAAAGCAATGTCAAAAAAATGCGAATTTCACAGTTATGAGGTGTCGCCATTTTTATCACTTTTTACTCATGCCGTTTCCTATTAGTAGATCTAGTGCAGTTTTTTTTATTTCTGTCTTTTTCTTCCACAAATTGATGAAAAAGGATGAAAATACACTCAATGTGTATTAAATCTACCAATCGGAAACGCCATTAGTTTTAACGTTGACAACTTCAATCTGACAGATTTTTCACAGCATAACCTCACTTTTGGTCGGTTACAGATTGTTGTTTTTGGCGATTTTTCCTGCTTTATCTCAAATATTTTTATCAAAGCAATGTTTTAAAAGATTTCTTTTTGTTATTTTTGAAGTTATAAGTTGTTCATGACCCAGTAGCGCACCTAGGTGGGGGGTTTTGTGCCAGGGCCCCCCCTAGGCAGCCCCTCTAATACTGTGTTTTTACGATTAAAAATGTAACAACATCAAAGCGTAGCACCCTCATGCCTCATTCTTACTTGCTCAAAACTCACTCTTCTTTAACATTGCTTCGCAAATTTGACGTTTGATACACGCATAAAATGTCAAATTGTCGAAGCAATGTCAAAAAAAGAACGATTTTTGCGCAAGTGAGAATGAGGCATGACAGCTCAATTTTTTTTAAGATTTTCAGTCACAAGCCACAACCTATGTAGGCCCCCCCCCTCCCAAACATATTTTCTGGGTGCGCCACTGTCATGACCTATTTTTCCAACACCTGATTTGACAAGTGATAAAAATGGCGGTCCATAGTTACCCGTTACCAGACAATCTTGGTTCGCGGTCAAGGTTTCTGACTAAAGTTAATAGAGTTGTTATTTGGTTTTAACATAGTTTTAACCAATGCATTTCCGCTGTCGCGGTTTTTATCAAAGTAGGGAAAGTTGTGACGTCACAGATAAGCTGATTTGTTTTTGGTATTTACCACTTATAACCGATTATAACCCAGCTTTGGACTTGGGTTAATCTTTTGGTTACAGCTTTTTGATGTTATTGTTATTATTATGGGGATTGGTATTGATGTTTTGTGATTTTGTCACTATGTAGATCATTCCGGAAAAAAATCTCTTTGAAAAACGAAACTAACGAGAGATTCCGCTCCATTTTTTGTACCTTAACAAAAAACCTTTAGTTTTTTTCACGCGGCTCCGGTTTAACTAACCGGGTTACAAAACGGTTAGAGAAATGACACCGTTTTCTAACCCGGCTACATAGTGACGTAATGGATATCTACCACTCAAATTTGAGCAGTATGTTGGGGTTTATTAAACCGGAACCATATAAGAAGGGTTATTCAATCCATCATCTGTCAAAAAAGAAAATTCAATATGGCGTGGCGGCCAAGCAAGTCTGTTTTGAATATGTTTTTATGCGTAATTTAAATTAGTTTGCTTAGAGTTTTGTTTGCAACTTTGAATTTGATTATTTAATAAAAT